TACGAGCGCAAATACGGCAAGGATTCCGAGACCGGATTGCCGAAGAGCGTGTTGAAAGGGCTCTACTTTCAGAACTCGGAGAGCGCCTTTCAAGAGGCCATTAGCAGTGGCGATGTGTACGTCATGAACTCCGAGGATGGTGTGGAGTTCTTCGGCTTTCGCAAGATCGAAGCTGGGCGCGAGAGGCGTGTTTTGCTGCCTTGCTGAGAGAGTCATTCAGAGTTTTGGAAAGAGCAGCTGAGAAAGTTTTGATAGAGTTGTCTTTTCTTGAGAGAGTTTTTGAGAGAGTTGTCTTTTTGTTGAGAGCTTTTGAGAGGGTTGCCTTTTTTGTTGAGAGAGTGTTTGACAGAGTTGCTTTTTTGTTGGGAGGTGTGGAGACTTGTTGAGAGTCTGTTGAGAGTCTTTTTGTGAAGTCCTGGTGGATGTTTTTTTTTTGACGCTGTTGATGTTTTGTTGATTGTTGTTATGGAAGTGGCTGTTGTGGCTGCTGTGGCAGGGGCACTACTCGGGAACAGAGTGTCCTCAAGGAGAAGAAGATCACAGCTGATCAGTCCAACTGCTTGGAGGACTTGTTGGAGCAGCTGAATTGGAGCTTCAATTGGAAGAAGACGGACGCGAAGTCCATGGTCGAAGGAGAGAAGCTTCCTGAGTCAGTTCTGAAGCTGCTCACACAGGCCATCACCAGTGAGACCAAGCTGTCGGGCGATGCTTTCAAGCTTCTCAAGAAGATTGGCGACGATGGCGGCGCAGACTACAAGGGTTTGAAGCTCCTGTACACCGAGAGCCAGACGCATTTGTCATCAAGGACTTCAAGGAGTTTCCTGGCGAGAAGGACCCCCCCTCTGACCAAGGAAGCCTTCGATTTGCGCATGAAGAAGGCATTGATGTCTATTTTGGATATAAATTTTGGGTGTGGGTCAACAAGTTAACATGTCTATACCTAAGCAAAGTGTTTTGGAACGTTTCATTTTCTGATGACGTGCGCAGGTCGCGGCCCATGCCCAGAAGTTGAACGAGGCCATCGAAAGCACCAAGGGAAAGATGAAGGCTTTGACCAACTAGCTTCCCTC